CGTGAGAAGTTATTACGCACATTAAAGAAGGTGTTATGACAGAATAAGCAAGTGTTTCTTACGCTCGTTGTGGTGTATGTAAAAATGTTTTGACGTAGCTTTTTTATGAGAACGTACATCTTGCACCTATAGGTTTGTGTATTTACTTTTAACTACTCTTTTGTGTTTTTTACAGCAGAAAAAAATAGGAATGAACTGAGCTAAGACTTCAGTAAAACCCTCCTGCAACCAATCTAGAGAAATGCAACCAATTGTGGCATATCTGACCATCTTGCGGGCCTCGTAGTTTAGAGCCATATTAAAGGAAGCAGTCACGATAATTTTCATGGCAGCGATAAGGAAAGCTTGTATTGGAGTGGATTATCGATGTGGAAAGGGGTGCGATAAGAGCGTGCTAGATATGATACCGTTATCGTTATCGTCCCGTTTTCATTCTGGAGTGCACCTCTTATCAAGCAGCCGCACCTTCTTATCTCATCGTATCATATCTTCCATGGGCTTACACTCGTCCAACAATTACTGCCTCACACCTTATCGATTGATAACGCGAGGGTAGCAAATCCAGCGTGGAAGCCAGCGTGATCGCTTCCTTTAATAAATGGCCTATAAAATGAATAAAAAACGGGAGAAAAAGTTGCGCATGCCCGAAAAAACCTGAGATGCATACGTAGTTGCTACAATGTCGTCAAGACACTGATCACGACGGTTGGAAGGTGCTTAAGTATAGAAATTCATCGCTTGCCATCTTTTGTGAGGCGAACGGCGTTAAGACGAATAGGCACCTAGCGCCGACGAGAGCAGGTGAGCGACTGCATAGGAAGAGAGGACGCAGGCAGTCTGTAACGCAAACCAATTCGTGCCGAGCCGAAGCATCCTGAATCAAATGATAACACCCTACCACGTCGTATACTTTCGAACCGCGTAAACAAAAGTAATCTGCCTAGGTGAACAGCTCTATCTTTCAACCAAAGGAATTGCTCTATCCGAATTCACGTAAGGTGCGGCTTGGAAGGAAAATCGAATCAAATTGATATGGTTGTTCTGCTGAAAAATATTACAGAAGCAGTAGGAGCATTTCACTTTCGGGCCGTGAAACAGTTTAGGAGGCAGATAGGCATAAGAGCTACTGAGCGGCAGGGAGAGAGGAGAATTCAAAGATGATAGAGCATGCATTATAGCGGGGAGCAGGCGCTTCCTGGGCTCCATCTGCCAACCGTAAGGCTAGGAAACTCAGAGTTTTGCAGCGCTACCCGAGAGCTCTCACAAATGCACATATACAGGGGGGGGGGCAAAAAAAGAGTCACTTTGCCCATGGCGCATATCATCAAACTTTTCGTCGCAAAGGATGCCGCTGTTATTGGGAGTTATACGGCGAAATTATTCCTTAGATGTCCCCCCATAAGCAGAATCAGGCCCACCTTCGCTGCGTTCACCGTCGAGTCTCAGGGACCTACCATAATCGCTCCATTCGTGAGTTTAGTATCTGATTCTGGCAATCGGATAATTGTTTTGTTCGTGCCCTCTCAGGACAGCTACTTCTTTGTCGTGCAGATGGTTTGATCAGAGTTTCAGAGACGTCGTAATCATCTATGGTTTCTCGAAGACCCCGTTGAGCTTGTACCGTGCACCGATGCACCATTTTCCGTGGGAAAATCTTCTGATGTCGTCGGTGTAGAAGGCCACTATGTAATTTTTTTTGATAGAATAGAATGTGCTCTTCAATATGCAATTGAGCTCATTCGGTTTGGTTTGGCAAAGTGTAATTAATTCTGTTTTGAATGTGAGTAGGAGTGACTCCCTTTTTTTTGCCTCCCCCCTGTATAGTACATCTCTGCTTACTTTATTTCCTCTGAAAGGCTTGGTCTTGTAAATATTCCAGCTGCACTCTATCCTTTGGTTGGTAGGAGTCTTGTAACCCTCAGTGTTCTAGCTAGGTGTTGTCAGAATCCTTAATAGGGTCAACCGTCCGTTGGACGAAGTTCAACGAGGGGGTCGTATTTGGCCGACCGAAGAGGGGGGGGGGTCGTGTTCGTAATAACTTCGTAATGGTCGTGGTGAAAGGCAGTACTTTTAAAGTGTATCTTCAACTATTGAAGCACAAACGAGTGCATGGCGCACATCAGAGCAGAAGAGTCTACTGCAGAAGTGTCCATATTTGACTGTTCACGTACACAATATGTATGCCTCGAGGAGAACCAATGTCTTCAAACTGGACCTAAGTTAGTAAAAGAGTGACCACTTGGGTAGATTGACTGCTAAAGGCTTACAAGAAAAGTTTGGGAAAAAATATTTGCCTGTCGGCGACTTCCTGAAAGGGTTTAGTATCTGTTATGAAGCACAAAGCTTGTGCGATGTCATGGTATCATTATTCCCCATAAAATTGAGTTTGAAGAGAGCTGTGAGTGTTTGAAAACTCGTGTTTTCAGGAGAGTAGCTCCGAAAATTCATGAAAAAAAACGGTCCAACGGGGCGATTTTTTGAACGGGTCATTTGGAAACGAGATCAAGTATTCATAGAAAGCTCTAACCTTCTAGTTTCTTCCAGGGGACAAGAATTGCAAAAAGTTCAATCTGAAGAAAGTTATAACAGTTCAAAGCCAAAAAACCAGCGCTCTGCCAAAAATCGGTCCGCGATTTCCCCAAAACGGTCCAACGGGGCGATTTTTGACTCCATCAACTTTTGAAAGAGTTCAAGTATTCGTTAGAAAGCTCTAACCTTCTAGTTTATTCCAGGGGACAAGAATTGCAAAAGGTTGAATCTAAAGAAAGTTATAGTCATTGAAAGCCAAAAAACCCGGTTGTGCACAAAAAACGGTCCAACGGGGCGATTTTTTGAAGAAATGAAACTTTACAAAGTTGATGATTTTTAGAAAGAAAACAATCCATTGTTTCAAAATTTTCTTACCACTTCTATACTTTTTTATTATATGAAAACCACCTCTTCAAATAAAGAAGTGCGCATTTCTGTGAATTCTTGATTCACAGAAATGCGCACTTCTTTATTCACCATAGCTAAAATAGTTCTGACGGTACTGCACAAAGGTGGTAGTTTTGAAACTAGCAGTCTCTCGATTACAAATCTACTCAGTGTTTTGGAAAATATTGAAGTTGAACAGAACTATCACTCAATTTAATTTGTTTTGAGGGAATGTGCAAAAGGAATGCCAAGAAAGCAGGAGTTGAGCTTTCAGTTTTTGCTATCGCACCGGAGATTTTCCATTTTTCCTATTTCTATTTCTTATTGCAATCAAAGATTTTCCCCAGTACGTCGCTGTCATCGCTAGAATCCATATCTCATCATTATTGCATCGCAATCGGTCACTTCACACACGCCACAAACAAAAAACAAAAAAAATAAACCAAAAAATCTGCTTTGCCGGCGTTCTTCTCTTCTTCTTCTCCCTAGCGTTAGTCCCGCGCCGTCGCAGGGTCCGCTGTTCTTATCAGTCGTCGCCACTTCGCTCTGTCCAGGGCATCCCCTGCAGTGGCCATGATTTCGCTTAGGTCCTTCTTGACTACGTCCTTCCACCTCTTCTTTGGGGCTCCTCGCGGTCGAAAAATAATAAAGAATACGATTCGAAGTCGATTGGCATTCCTCTATTGGTAAAGCAAAAAAAAAACTAAAGTAAGATAAAAAATTCTTCTCGCAAACAGTGGACAAATAAAAAAAAAAAAAAAAAAAAAAAATAATATAAAACAAAAACAAAAATCCACACATATAAAATTGAAAATAGAAAGAAGGGCAGTATGAAAAATAAAAGATAACCGTCTGACATCCTCGTTCCTGACCCTGTCCAGTCGCGTCCAGCCGCAGGCCCATCTCAGCATCCTCATTTCGGCCGAGTGAAGCTGCCTTTCGTGGTTCTTGTTCAGGGGCCAGCACTCGCTGCCGTAGAGCATCGCAGGCCTTACCACTGTTCGGTACAAACGTATAACTAAACAATTTGAAAAGTCAATAATAAGAAGAGAAAAAATATAAAAAGAGAACAATACAAGAGGAATAATCAAAGGCTACAATAAAATAATAATAAAAAAAAAAAGCGTATGATGCAATCCTCCCCATTACTGCCTGGTCCACACTGCCGTCGGCCGCCAGATCACTTCCAAGGTATCGGAAGTCCTCCACTCTTTCGATGCTTTCGCCATGTCCATCCACGATCGGCTCTGCACTCTCTTCGGAGCTCAGGAACTTGGTCTTCTTGACATTTAGCCGGAGCCCCCCTTCTGCCAGGGCCTTCTGCCACTTCTGCACCTTGGCCTGTAGTTCTTCTCTGCTATCAGCTATCAGGGCGATGTCGTCAGCGTAGAGGATGGTCTTTAGTGGCCCTTCTATGAGCCCCTTCACCATGACATCTAGTGTTAGGAGGAAGAGGAACGGACTCAGAGCTGACCCTTGATGCACCCCAACCGTGATGTTTACCTCTTGTAGTGAAAGGTAGAGCTCGCCTTCAGGGATTGATTCCACTGGCCACGCGGGAACTGAGATATTGCTGGTGTCGACTTATTGCTGATATTGTTCTGAAACCCAGGGGTTATTGCTAAGTTATTGCCCTAGTTTAATATGTGGACTTACTCTCGTTAAGGTCCGTAGCGTATGGTTGGGCCTTATTGTTCGTATTGTTCTTATTGCTTTCTTGTTCCTAGAACAATACAATATTATAGGATTTATTAGCCCTTGAATCGAACCGATAGGTGAATAAGTACGCACGAGAGTAGAATGTCGTTCACCAAGGGTGCTGCAGAAGACGATATTGCTGAGCCGATATTGCTGTAGAGAGACGGTCGGAACCGGAACCCGGAAGCCCCAAGCTCTAGGCGTCGCTGCTTTTATACGGCGTTGTCCCCTCGGCGACGGCGATGTAAAGAAACATATCTGAAAAAATGCCTTACAAGATCAGCCTATTGATAAGAAAAAGCTTAGCTAACTCAATCGATAAAATGAATAAAGCTGTCTAACCATATGTACAATAGTAGCGTTTTCGCTACACTCCGGGCGGCGCGTTATTGATGCCTTACTCGGGAGAGCTCCTCTTCTACTCTCCTGATTCGAGCTCTGATACGATCTTTGGAGTCGGGAATAACGCAGAGAGCCCTGTGGTGTTCTTGTTCTTCTACCAGAAAATATAAGGCCCTACCTCTCACGGTATTGCAATACCAACAATCCTTTTCTTCTGTTCGACACTCTGCTGCCTTGTGACCCCTTCCCAGACAAATTCGACACATCCCGTTCTCTTCAATGAAATTGTAACGCTCTTGACCAGTCGTGATTTCAGGACAGGAGTCTGAATAATGCTGAGCTATCGCTCCGCAAAAGGAACACTTGGTCCACTCCTTGACGTTATCGCTGTATCCAAATTTTCTACGAGACAGAAGGGAGTAGCTGTCTCGCAATTCTGCGAGCTCATCCTCCAACTCAGCGATGTATCGTCGACGTTCCTCCTCATGCCGGGCACGATCTTGTCTCTCTTGTTCTTGTTCTTGTTGCTGTCTTTCTCTGCGTTCAGCAGCTCGTCGTTCTTGTTCTTGTTCTTGATGCTGCTTTTCTCTGCGTTCAGCATCCTCCGGGGGCGCATCTTGGTCGTCTCGGTTTTCCTCTATCAGTCTTTCCATGTATTCTTCATCAGAGATCACCTGGATCTTGCTAGTACTAGGGAAGTCTCCGATTTCTTGAGAGTGTTTCCTCTTGACTGGTTGGGGATGGTGTGGACACTGGTTTTCTGTCAGTTTCGAGGCTATGTTGTCCAGCTTTTGCTCTAGCTTCTCTATTGTTCGATTGAAAACAGTCCTAAACTGTTCCTTGTTCTGAACCTTCTCGTCGTTGACTAGCTTTTCAGCTCTTGTCATTTCATATTCTATGTCTGAGATATTGTTGTCCAGCCGTTTCAGATTTTGCTGAGCCCGCAAAGACACCAAATTTATATCATGATCGCCATCTTCGAGCCACTCAGCTCTTCTTCTTGCTGAAATTTTTCCTTCGTCTGTCTTCATCCTGTAGATGGAATCGTATAACATGTATCGTTGGGTGGCACTGTGAAGCTTCTCTTTGGCGTAAGTGGCTGTTTTCCAGAGACGCGAACCCGCTAACACGAGTTCTCCTCCCGTGAAATGTGCCTCCGTCGTGGTAAGTAGATGGTGCGTCACTTGAGCGTCCAGTGCTCTTGCCATATTGATGTGCGTGTGGATTTCACTCAAACTTGTTGACATGTCTCGTTCGATCTCTTCCGCCGATACTTTTTCTTTATAGAGATTGGCAAGTGCGCGGAAGCTATTCAAGTATTCGTCTCCCTGGGCCATGATGAGTGTGAGGCTCTCTGAAACAATAGAAAATAGAAATAGCTTCGGAAGCTACTGCCTAATAAGGAAGCTCTACCACATATTGCTTAAATATCTAGCTAAGTTTTTATCATTATCTAGTTATTGCTACGTGCTTAAATCTAGTTATTGCTATCTGTTACGATTACTGGGGGTTTCAGAGTGTCAAAGCTGCTTAGCGTGCCTATGACCCATTTCCTTATTGGATTTCTTGACTGTTTGGACAATATATGATATTGTACGCGTGACTAATCTTGGTATAAGTAATATTGTCCATTTCAGAAGGCCAATTCCGTAGGTGCATAAAAAAACGTAAGTTACGGTCAGAACGATAAGTAGTCCCACTATTGCCGAAATAAGGGTTTTGTACCACTGAAGGAATACCGTGGCAATATGGATCAAGTCCGGGAAACCTACTCCCGCGCTTTCTATTGTTTCTCCTCTGAGCCATTGTTCTACGATCCCCCGGGCTGATGCCGTAAATTTCAGTATTCCTGCAATTTCGAATGATGTGATGCTATACGCCGGATCTCGAGGAGGTAACCGTAAGTCGCGGCACAATATCGACGGCTGGTGCCAATATCCCCACAAGGTGGAAATCCTTCAGCTTCACACTGACTTCCGTGGGCATTCCACCTATGGAACTTCTTAGGTCCCGATTCATTTCCAACTCTGCACGTACAGCAATATGGAACAACAACGCCCATCTGGCATTGCAGTGTCCTACGCATGTTGACGCGCAAAACCTTAATTGTCCGTGCTTGACGAGTGCGTATGTTTGCCAGCGGAAACTAGGGTAACTTGCAAATGCAGGGACTTCCCGCTTAGACCGTGGATCACTAACGTGAAGAAACAGCTACCGGTCAATTTCCCCTCGCTGCTGCTTCGAAAACACGAAACAGCAAGGGTCCAGGCTCAGGTGAACAATATGGTAACTTCGGAAATAATAATGAGTTTTTCCGGGCATGTAACAACAGAGATAATGGTCGATGAAGCTCTCTGTAAAGCAGAAGCCACCCCCTTAATCGGATGTTACAACTGCGCGAAGGGTGCACTAACCCAGGTCACTTGTTACTCCTCTAAGAACAATATAGATGCCGAAGCAATATGTGAACAAGTAGGGTTCACAATACCGTGCAATACCACAGGGGTAACGTCAACGTTACGCTTCAGTGCCACGAAGGCCCAAACGGTACTAACCTGTTCAATATCATGTGGTAAAATCA